TGAATAAAACTAACTAACTACTTAATAACAACTTTTTTGATTACGTTAACAAATTTGATATCGCACTCCTATTCGAAACCTTTATTGGAAAGAATGAAGAAGTCTGTACTAACTATTTTCCCGATTTCAACCTCCACTGGACCCCGGCTACTCGAATATCACAAAAAGATCGTGCAAGCGGCAGCTACCTATTTGCCAATACAAATGCAGTTTTAAAACTATAAACAAAAGAACCGTCATTGAACTAATCGTCAACAACAAGTATAATAGTTTCCGTTTACCTAAACTCCAATAAATGGTTAAGCTTCTTCGAGGAGCTGCACGATTTCCTGATGGCACTTGAGTATGATAACATAATGCTGTTTGGAGACTTTAATGCCCGAATGGGGCCTAACTACGCCCTTACGCAATCGCAAAGTAAACATGATTATATGACCAGAAAAGCGAAAACCGAAACATTGGACCAACTGCAGAAGTTATTGGTTGAGTGGTAATATCATTCGTCCGAGCAGTTCGCAATATGCATCGCCAATAGTACTGGTCAAGAAAAAGTACATCATTTGTCACTCCATTAGCTCAATATGAATTTTTAAGAATGCCAATGGGATTGAAGAATGCGTCTAATGTGTTTCAGAAATTCGTAAATGAAATTTTTTCTGACATGATTAAGGATCATACAGTGGCGGTATACATGGATGATATCATGATAGCAAGCGAGACGGTAGAGGAGCACTTAGAAATTTTAAAAGAAGTATTTAGAAGGTTAGTTGAGAACAAGTTAGAGCTCAGAATGGATAAGTGTGAATTTGTGCTTTCTGAAATAAAATATTTAGGATATCGTATTACAAGTGAGGGAATCAGAGCGGATGAAAAAGGCGTAGAAGCGGTAGCTAACTTTCCGATACCAAGCAACACGCATGCGGTACGGAGCTGGTGCTAGCGTTATAAAACTATAAGGACGAAACGGAGTTGCATTGTGATGCCAGGTACTGATGCAAAGAAAAGAACACAAGAAGTTGCATCTGATTTTCTATTTCTCCAAACGAACATCAGACACGGAGGCAAAGTACCACAGCAGGGTTTGGGGAGGTACTGATGCAAAGAAAAGAAGACAAGAAGTTGCATCTAATTTTCTATTTCTCCAAACGAACATCAGACACTATTATTTATGCATTGCGTCGATTCAGGATATATTTGCATAGGCGAAAATTTAAGATATTGATAGACTGTAATTCGTTGACATTAACGTTAAACTAGATAGAGCTAAACCCAAGAATTGCCAGATGGGCGTTAGAGCTCCAGAATTATGATTATGAGCTAGTGCATAAAGCAGGGAAGCAAATGCAACATGTAGATGCGTTGAGCAGGTGTACGAACGTAAAGGTGACGGAAGCAAGTAGTTTTGAGGATAATTTAGTCATTTGCCAGAATAGAGATGAACAACTTAGGGATATCAGGAAATTGTTAGAAAAAGGAGAAGATAAATTGTATGAATTGAGAAATGGAGTAATTTTTAGAAAATCAAATGACAGCCGAATTATGTTTTATGTAACATGTTCAGATAGCATGATAAATCAGGTATTAAAATACCATAATGAGTTAGGGCATATTGGAAGAGATAAGATGATCGACGCAATCACTAAGACCTATTGGTTTCCGCAAATGAAAGAATAGGTAATGGCACACATAGAAAATTGTTTGAAGTGCATAGCTTTCTCGCCGAGATCAGGAAAAGAGTTTGGTTTGTTGCATAGCATATCGAAAGGCGATAGACCGTTCGACATAATACATTGATTGATTGATGGATTTACGAAGTTCAGCAGATAGCAGATAGCGACGGGTTCTCCGCAAGATATTGGGCGGATAGAAAGGGTTAACAGAAGCTTAGGACCCATGATTGCAAAGCTTGCGGAACATGAAAATGATGTACACTGGGAGATAATAGTTGAGAAGGTAGAACATGCGCAAAATCATACAATACATCTCAGTATCAAGCCATTATCCAGCAAGATGTTATTTGGTCTGGCTCAGAAGCGTGAGGTTTGTGATGAAATTAGAGTGAAGTTAGAGGAAATAACAGATTCAGATTTGGGGAGCTCATAATATTAGGCGTTGGATACAAAGATAATTTTAAGTACATAATAAGGCATTATACAATGAATACTTGCAAGTATTTTTAAAATTTATTTATAAATAACAACCATTTGTACATAGCTATAAGTTGTATCCTTAGCCGAAATCAGGGGATCTCAAGGGTCAGGTTGGCCGAGTTCTGGCATAACACTGTTGGCTCTCTTATGCCGCAGTCTCTCACTACTGTAACGGTAAATACTCTCTCGTGTGTAATGCAAGCATGGCTTCGCTTTCGAAGTCAAATCTGGCTGTTATGTAAGGCCTGTTGCGGGAAAAAATTGAGACTTGCGAGAAGCGGGAATTCTGGATTTTTTAGAAATGTGTCACCATTCACATATAAACTATAAAAAATTGGCAGTTCATTAATATTTGTAACGTTGTTACTCTGCCGCGGGTATGCTCGCCGGCCAGAGTATGCTGAAATAAATTAGGCACCCCAAAGTGCCGAGGTGTCCAACAAATAAAAGAGGGCGGTATGCCAAAACTTCTCCACGTGTTTTATTCCAAAAGAATTCAAAATGCAGCCCGCGCTTCAGTGCGTGTTGGGCGAGACCAAAAGAAGAACTAAACTAAACCGAACTTAAAATTACTCGCCTTCATGGCTTACTATTCTTACAATTACTTGTTCGCTTAAAAATTACTCGTAATGACGCACAGCTGGTTGCTGCGCAACGCGTCGTTACATATTTTTATCGATATTTGCCAATACCCCCACTAGTTTAGAGCAAATTATCATCTCATTTGCATATCATAGTGCGCGCCAATAGTTAAATTGTAAAATGATAAAATAATACACCTAATTCCGTTTTTACACGGTTTTGATTTAAAACGGTGTGAAAATTAAAAATTGTATATATTGTTACAGGACTTTATTCCATTTGGTACGATTAAAATTACAAATTGAATAAATAAAAACACACACAGCTGATGAACAGCTAAAAACCATTCTTATGTGAGTCGTTATTCACATTATATGTTCGGTCAAAATGCGATAAATCGATGTTTTGGAGATGTTCAATTCCATTTCCATCAATTTCAATGATGATTTCGGCTGACTTTTGATTAATTCCAGCACAGTTTCGATAGAATTTTCGGTGATCACGAATTTTGATTGGTCCACATGTTGATCGTCATTTACATGTTGATCGTCATCGCCATGAACTTGTTCCATCAATTGAAGCGTTTCGGTAAAAGTTTTACCAATTTTAAAATTTAATGTTGGCTCTTTGTTCGAAGCTCATTTTCGCACCGATAACACAAACATACTGACACTTAAAACGCAATAACTTCACTTCCAATCGATGAAATGTCATGAATTTCTCACTGGACAATCGATAAAGATAGCAGATTCTAACGCACCATTCGACATCTAGATAGCGCCACCAGGGGCGCTAGATTCAAAAAGTCCTGTTTACTTTGGAACGCACCTTGTATAATAATATATCCTTGTTTTTTCACTGTTTTTAATAGGTTTTAGCATTTTTGTATGTGATGAATTTGTATATGATGAATGTCTTTTTTTACACGGTTTTGTTCTGGAACCAATCTACGTGTAAAAACAGAATTATGTACATACTACCAAACTGCCGAGATGCTTGGCTAAAAAGCGAAAAATTCAAGGCTTTGATTCGCAAAGATGACTCGGACGGGCATAGGGTTTACTGCAGCTATTGCAAGATCACTTTTTCAGCCAAGCGTAGTGATTTGTGCGCTCATGCAACAACAAAGAAGCACACAAGTGCAATGAACTTTTTTATTCAACAAAAATAGATTTTGTGAATTAGCCTGACAAAATTATGCTGCTTTGACTACCAATTTCCTAATAATTATTTACGCATGATTGGTACGACCATATCGTACAAATGCGATCCTCGTAGAACTGAATGATTTAATGATTTTAAATGTTTCTATGGCTCTAAATGTGGATGCCTTTTTGCGCATATTTATTAATGAGAAGCCGGCGCTCCTATTCTTGTTTCGTTTCTATGGCTGTAGATGTAGATGCTCTTTCGCGAGGATCTTGCAAACGTGATTGACGTTCATCGGCATTTTTATATGCTCTTTTTTCGCTTATCTTTTTTGATTTTTTTACCAATAGATTTTACAAATTTTATTTATGTATTTACAAATGAAATGTACAAACAAATGAAATGACAAACAGAGTAAGAAGAGACTGTCAAACAAATTAAAATGAGCAGAAAAAGGCTAGAAAACGATGGTTGATAATAATCGCCACGAAACTTCACAGGATTACCCACTGAACTATTTTGAATATTGGTACAAAATGTGATCAAAATCGGTTGAGCGGTTTCGGAGTCTATAGGCAACATTCATACAAACATATGTATGTATGTACTTCCATTTGTATAAAATACATACATATGTACAAAAGTAGCTATATGACACCTGCACTTTTTTGGAACTGCACATATTCACCTTTGTAATGTGCTTACTCAATTGCCTATTGATTTGATATTAGAATCGTAGCCTTGATAATATTACTATGGGTCTGTTGATGCCGTAGTTAGAGATGAGCAATATTTATATATCTATTCACTTGTCACGGTGTCCAGGATCATCCGTTTAAAATAGGGACATATTTTATGTATTAGTTACAGTACAATGTAATTAAATGTCTAATTAGGGAATGAAAAGTCGTTGTCCGTAAAGAAAATGCAATCAGTGATAATAGACGGTGATTTTAAACATTCTTTGTGAAGTTTTGCCATCGCTATGAATTGTGGCATTTGTATACTCGTGACAAATCTTTGCACTAAATATCGCACATCGCTACTCAAAAGGGCACTTAAATATAATAAAATATTATTGTTTATGCCTAAGTGCGCTCCGTTTGTTAGGTGATGCTCTGATTAAATTTTGTACTGTTTGTGACAACTTCAAAACTGAATTTAACTGTGTTACAACTACACCATTACCACAATTTAGCAAGACAATATAATATAACTACAGGTTTAAAACTTACGCTTTGAAACGAAGTCACCTCACAATGCCGGATGATAAACTAATCAGTAACCAGTTAGCAAAAGGTGAGTAATTCAACAAACAAATAAAGCAATTAAATATAAAGAAGTAGAAGAATTACCTGGAAAGGAGTATGTCGAAGTATTGGGTTGCACAATTACAATTATTTTTAAACGTTTTTACATTGACATTGGTCGTCTGAGTTTAAATATATGTATGTACATATGTATGTACATACATAAGCAGGTCTGGACTTTGCAATTTTCTTTCATTTATTTTGTGTATATATGTATGTACATATATGTATTTATTTTTTGCAAGAGCTGAGACAGGAAATCCGCCTTGACATTGTTGTCGATTTACCAGCATTAAAAATTGCAAGCGATATAATAAAAACAGGGTACTTTAATTATTTCAAAATAAAACAAGTTGAGAAGCTAAAGTCGGGTATTCCGACTTTGAAATACTCTGTACATATGTGTAGTATAATTATGCGTATCTATGCGTGTATGTGTGTGCCTGTGCAGAGCAATAACAACAACAACAGCTGCGGTCACTGCTTGGTCATATATACATATATGGGTATAACTTTCTGTTAAATCGGCCTATCATTATAAATCTCGACACATTATCAGTAACGGGAGGTATTTTCCGAATTTCAATAAAAAATTCCAAGAATTAAAGGAGTTATGGATTGCATGGGAGAGGGGGGAGGGAATGAAATTCCAAAATACGCATTTTCTGCGTTACACATAAGGCATCTTGGACTAAAATTTTGTGTCCCTAGGTCTCATAGCCTCCGAGATATAGGGGATTACACGAATTGAAAATCGGGAAAACCCGCATAGGGGGGAAGTGAGGGGCAAATCAAAAAAATAAAACAAACTCGTATAGAGTACACACATAAGGCATCTTTGTGCAAAATGTTGTCTCTCTAGCTCTTATAGTCTCTGAGATCCAGGTGTTCATACGGACGGACAGACAGACAGGGCTAGATTGACTCGTCTTGTCACGCTGATGATGAATATATATACTTTGTGTAATATACTCTTGTACATTTCATATACAGAGTTTTGCTGCCCTTCCTTGCTAGTTTTGTAAAGAATATTAAAAATAATAATAATACAACAACAAAAAAGTCAAAAATCTGAAGTCGAGTGTCCCGACTTTGAAATACTCTGTAAATATGTTTAGAATAATTATAGAAATTTTAAAAATTAAGAAAATTAAAAAAAAAAATAGAACAAACTTGCGCAGCATACACACATAAGGCATCTTTGTGCATAATTTTGGTGTCTGTAGCTTTTATAGTCTCTGAGATCCGGGTGTTTATACGGACAGATAGACAGGGCTAGATCGACTCGTCTTCTCATGGTGATCAAGACTATCAGGGGTGCTACAGAAAACTCCGGTGGTTTCGGCTACAGTTGTTTTTCAAAACTCCCAAAAAATACGTCGGTGCCACAGAACTTCCAAGCCAGCTCTCAGCAATAGCTGACTGTCGACGCTCACATTTGACTGACTAATTCTGTAAAAATCCTGTAACGCACTCAGCTGAAAGCAACAGCTGACTGTCAACGATTACATTTGACTGACTAATTTTGTATAAATTCTGTATCGTACTATCTATATATGTATATAAAACAGTTTGTCCTAACTGACTGACTGACTGATTGGTGATCAACGCACAGCCCAAACGGTAAAAGCTAGGAAGCTGAAATTTGGACTCAAGTATCCTTTCATAGTGTAGGCTGGCGATAAGTAGGGATTTTGAAAAATTCGCTCCATAGGGGGGAAAACGAGCTCCAAAGTTTGTTTGAAAAATCTTCAGTTTTCCACCAATCAACTTTGAATTTGATTTTTATAATCTACTAGCAGGTCTTGCCCGTCTTTGCTGGGCTAAGTAAAATGTGCTTATAATTATAAGTTTATTTACTATATAATATTTTTCTTTCGACGCTCTCTAAAGTATTTTAAAGAGTTTATTTTCCAAATAGCAAATATAGTACAATAGGTACTATGTAATGTTATACGTACCTACATACATATGTATATATCAGCGTTACGCACCGGGCGGACTGCCAGTCCTGACTTAACTGTGTGCTTCCTCAGCACGTTGTATGTACGCACGGTCGAGTTATCCCCGAAAAGTCCGACGCGGGACATTTAACTTTGATTTATAAATCGGGACGTCCCGCCAAAATTGGAGCGTTCGGCAACGCTGATATGTACATACATTTAAATTTTTCATGCAGGCGTTATCCGCCTATATACATACATACTTATATGTATATATATTAAATTTTTTAATTCAACACTAATTTGTGTCTTCAATTCCAAATATGATTGTTGTGAATGTAAAAGGTGTGTTTCTGCTTTTGTAAATCGCATGAATACACTCACAAAATAGGCTTAACGGTAAATGACTCCTAGATTTGATCAGAATACATTTGTAGCGGTGTTAGCTAACACTAAAACGGTAAGTCGCTGTAAATATGCGATCAGCTGAGATGCTAGAGATGGGCATGTGCCGGATGCTCTATGTGCTAGGGCATCAAAACTATCGATAGTTAAATCCGTCGATACAATCAATAATTCCATCGAAGTTTGAATGCAATTAACAGACATAACAGACATAACATCTATAATAATTTATTGAGATCAATTAGAACAAATCATATACAAACATACATATGTACATCTGCCCGCAACGCGGTTTCTGCTTTACTATCGCTTACGCAGTCGATGCCTAGCGACGGTAACTGTAAACTTTTGGCATTTTGCCTTTGAAATTAACAGGCGTAAATGATCAAAACGAAAGAAGAAGCGCGAGCCAATGACTTGCAGTTGTTGTTTTTCGTTTTAAAAATTTGATTTAAAACCATAGAACATTATTTATTACAATGAAACAACAGTGCTCGATTGTCCAATGTACACATACATACGAATGTACATACATGCTATATATGTACGTACACAGGCATACATACATACATATGTATGTACATATGCATGCATGTTTCTCTTTACTTTTTCAACCGTACGTAGAGAGCCGCACACATCGACACGAACTGTTGCTTGCTCTGTGTCTGAGTGTGTGTATATGATGTCCCCAACTATTTGATATTTGCGTTCTTTGTAATTTGTTGTTGCTGCATAAAGTTACTAATGAAAACCCTAATGCCAAATGTACTAAACAAAGAAAAAATTACTTTTAAAAATGTTAAATAATTTTTAATTAATTAACATTTCTTGATCTGTCAGTGCAAGACGAATGAACATACATACATACATAGATTTGTACATATATATGTGTGTACATTCACACATTAGTGTCTCACATTTTGCTTTGGCTATTTCAATCGTTTGCACGCAACTGTGTGTGTGTGTGTGTGTGTGTATGTGATGTATACTTTGTAGTCCCCAACTATTTGATATTTTGTATTGTTTGTTCTGCCTGCATTTGTAAAATGCATATTTTGAAAATCCTTGAACGCAAAGTTGTAGATTTAGTTACGTAGATTACAGTCCCCAAATTTGAAATCGATTTGAAAAAATTTATAACACAAACTTTTGATTTGAAAAGGTGAATAAATATTAAAACCCCAATAATTCAAGCTCCACCACAAATTTTGATAATCCGAGTATACAGTTTTGTTTGTATTCTTTTATCTATATATATAAAACAGTTTGTCCTGACTGACTGACTGACTGATTGGTGATCAACGCACAGCCCAAACGGTAAAAGCTAGGAAGCTGAAATTTGGGCTCAAGTATCCTGTCATAGTGTAGGTGTGCACTAAGAAGGGATTTTGGAAAATTCGAGCTCCAAAGGGGGGAAAACTAACAACTAACTAAACAAAGTTTGTTTGCTTATTCTGCATTTTTTTCCCGATCACCTTTAATTGTGTGTTGTTTTTATAACCTATAAAAGAATACAAGAAAAACTGCATACTCTGTTTTTTGAAATTAGCTTTGGAGCTTTATTTACAAATATATCTACAAATTGGCATTCAACGATTTTTGAAATATATAAATATGTTTTTAACTTACCATATAACAACAATAAATAACAAAGAACGCAAAATATCAAACAGTTACGGACATAAACACACTTACACAGTGACACACTCAAAGACACAAACAGAGATGGGCAAAGTCAGTGCTTTTTATTGTTCGTGGGACATCGCTGCACTGCATGGACACGAGTGTCGTGTTTCATATTCCAATTTCGTGGGTGTTCGTGTTGACACAATAAAGCACGAAAAGACACGAACGTGAAAGTGCGATAGAAACAAAAACAACACGACCAAAATATAATTTAAAATTAGGATATACTCTAATTATTATTCCAGCTTCTTGCACAAAGTCTATCTTAAAACGTTGTGTTATGTATGTACATACATATGTATATGTATTTTATTGTTCAAAAAATCATGGGATTTGGGTGGAAAGCGCATATCTACAAAATAAAAATGTTAATGTTAGCCACATTTGCATAAAATAAATTAATATTTTCCTTAAAAGTAAAATATGTATTATGTACATATATATATCGGCACTTAAAATTGGACTACCATATACACATGTATCATAATTTAAATATCGACTTTCTCCTAATTATTCGATTTCGTTTTTTTTTAATGTCAATTAAGTGCTCGTGCTGTGACTGGTTGAAAAAAGTCGACACATGCCCATCTCTAGCATCTCAGCTATTCGCATATTCACAAGAGTGTTTATGCGCACACGTGCGGTAGTGCGAATCGGCAGGACGATTGTGGTCCCGACGAGTTAAGCTAAAGGACGCTTATTGTCCTTCTGTTGATCAAGGCGGGATCCTAGTAGTCCGGCTTGATGTTTGGGTGGACACTCGAGGCCCGTTTAATTAAAGGCACTTGTGGCCCTGCTGCTTCAAGGGACCCTCGTGGTCCAGTAGGTGCGCATAACACTGGTTGTCCTGGTTGCGCTTGAGTGAAACGACGCACAGTGGGGCCTTTGGACTTTTTTCGTTGCAAAAATCATATCTTCTGAACGGCTGAAGCAATTTTCGTCATTCAAATTTTGT